AGCGGATGAAAATTTCAGCAACACTTACATAGATCTAAAAGAATCCCACCTATCCTCATCATACAATCCTACCACAATATCCCCATAAGCTCGGAGTTAAGACACTTCCTTTAGACTGCACGAAATCGAGGTAGCTCTTCAAACCGCCAAAGGCAAATGCCCTGGCGCTGAGAAAATATTCTATACCATGTTAAAACAGATACCGCCATGTCTTAAGCAGAGACTTCTTGACATTTACAACTCCATGCTATCCACCGGCAATTACCCCCACACCTGGCGATCTTCCATTGTCATCCCCATCCCTAAACCCAAAATAAACTCTTCAGAAATTAATGGCTATCGCCCAATATCTCTAATACCCAGCCTTAGCAAAATAATAGAGATAATGATTTCACTCCGACTTATGTGGTTCATCAACCGCCACAATCTGACCAACGGCAACCAAGTTGCATTTAAAAAGAACCACAGCACTATGGACTCAATTCTCAAGATCCAACACTTCGTGTCGAATGACATTTCGACCAGGAATCTCGTCTCCATCCTGGATACGGATTTCGAAAAGGCCTTTGATCGCGTGGGGCCACATGCAGTTCTCTCTCGACTCCTGCTTTGGGCCATTGGTCCAAGGCTTTACAACCTGGTTAAAGCCTCTATGACGAATAGGGCCTTTAAAGTCAGAGTCAACGACAAGACCTCAAGCTCGGCCAACTTGCTTAACGGAATCCCACAAGGCTCACCTCTGTCGGTAGTCCTGTTCATCATAGCTTTTGACCACGTAAACCTTAGTTTAGCTAGGTACAAGAAAATAAACCTTTCCTTATATGCAGATGACATAATAATTTACACAAAAGAAAAAAACCTCAGGACGGTAAAAAATACATTTTTAAAATGTGTACTATCGTCTTTCTATCGCTCAGAAGTGTCTCAGAAGTTACTTCTTTGCGATCCCGACCCTTTTTGTTTTCGTAAAATGCGCACTATCGTCCGAAAGTGACTTAGAAGTTATTTCTACGCGATACATGTATATTTTGTTTTTGTAAAATGTGTACTATCGTGTTTCTATCGCACACCTTTTGGCATACGACTCATTATTGTAAAAATACCCTTGTCAAAGTTATTAATCAACAAAAATGGCCACATTTACCAGCTCAGAGCATCTTACACTGCCTGAGCATTGACCTTTTATGTGCGTATCCAAACTCTATTTTATGGTCCTGAAAATTCAAGATGATTTTAAACAGCTTAATAGAAGTAACATTGATTCTACCACTTTTGGAAAAACTCGTTAGTTTGGCAGAAATAAAGCTATGGGAAAAAAATCGGTGAAAAAGAAAAAGTACAAATTAAGAAAATTAAAGCTTTATTAAGATGATATGTTACTTATGCTTAAATCAAAAACTTCTGATATCAAACAAAAACACCTCTTAACCTTTAGCAAACAAAAGTTCTGATATCAACTTTTGTGACGAAAATGTATTATACAATCTACTTAATAAATACATTTTCTTAATTTTTTTTTACATTCGGCACGCTGCTATCTATATACTTGGGTTTGATTTTGATAAAGCGTGCCGAATATAAACAAATTAAGAAAATGTATTTAAAGCCGCGAATTCTTCAAACAAATGGGAGTAACATTATACACACCCCAATATTTTTAAATGTCTTTTATTAAGTTGAGTGTGATTCACCAATCTGTATAAGCTAATCCTCTACGTCTTAAGAATTCGCGGTTACTGAAGAATTGATTTAAATATCAAACCACCAATTTGCACAATAAATTTTGTCAATTCTTCTGTATCCGCGAATTCTTAAGAGGTAGAGGATGTGTGTTAAATGTTGGTCCCTTTTGCTTTTAAGAACGCCCAAAGCAAAAATACCATCTGCAAGGATGCAGAAGGCCAATATAACCACAATGTTTTTCAGGACACTCCTTGACGTTCCTTTTGTAGGCTTTCTCAACAAAATTTCACAAAATCGGCACAGGAAGACTGGCTTCAAAATGATTTGGTTTTTAATCAAAAAAATAAAAAGTTAGAAATAATCATTAATTTTGATATTTTTTTTTTGATCAGGAATAATGATTATTTTTGATTTTTATTTTTTCTTTGCTCAGGAGTAATGATTATTTTTAATATTTATTATAAAACTCAAAAATAATGATTATTTCTGAGTTTTATTTTTTTTTGATAAAAAATAACGATTATGTTTTGAGTTTTAAAATAAAACTCATAATGATTACGGTCCGTGATTTTTTCTAAGAATTTAAATAAAGTTGTAATTACACAGAGATGAAAACGGAACAATACCCGTTTGATATTGTCTTCTCGATTTTCACATATCAAATAAAGGGTATACTAGATTCGTCGGAAAGTATGTAACAGGCAGAAGGAAGCGTTTCCGACCCCACAAAGTATATATATTCTTGATCAGGATCACTAGCCGAGTCGATCTAGCCATGTCCGTCTGTCCGTCTGTCCGGATGAACGCTGAGATCTCGGAAACTATGGGAGCTAGGCTATTGAGATTTGGCGTGCAGATTCCTGAGCTTCTTACGCAGCGCAAGTTTGTTTCAGCAATGTGCCACGCCCACTCCAACGCCCACAAACCGCCCAAAACTGTGGCTCCTACAGTTTTGATGCTAGAATAAAAATTTTAACTGAAATGTATTGTTCTCATCAATACCTATCGATTGACCCAAAAAAAAGTTTGCCACGCCCACTTTAACGCCCACAAACCGCGAAAACCTGTGACGCCCACAATTTTCATGCTAGATAAAAAATTGTAACTGAAATGTGTTGGTCTCGTCGATACCTATCGATTGGTCCAAAAAAAAATTTGCCACGCCCACTCTAACGCCCATAACGCTTAAATCTGTATACCGCCGGTAGGTGACGCATTTTAATCTCGCTTTGCTGCTTGCATATCTCCATTTAGCTGAATAACGGGTATCTGATAGTCGAGGCACTCGACTATAGCGTTCTTCCTTGTTTTTGACTGAATTGTTATACAAAAGTGAAACATTTATGTTGTTTATTTTGTTTTCCAAATGGTTAGTATGTCATGTTCATTTATATTTACTTGATGTTTGTCTAATTCTCATTTATTTATTTCTTAAACACTGTAACGTGCCTTTCGGTGGCTGGTCTACACACACTGCAGTACACAAAGTCAAACGGCTGACCAGGATGCCAAGCTGGGCAAGTTCGCGTCTATCGAGGACAGAAGAAGGACTCCCTTGCGCCGATGCAAAGCTACAGGTGGCATCCGAGTACAGCGTGATTGGTCATATATTGCTCCTCGAATTATTTTTATAATTGATCCAATACATGTATAAAATAAATAATGAAAACAAACTATTTAATTATTTGTATATAAGAGTTAAAAATGTAAAAACAAAACAGGTTAATATTAATGTTACATATTGTTACATATTAATCTGATATGAAAGAATATCAGTATGATTTGAAAGAATACCAGTTTGATAAGAAAGAAAATCAGTTTGCTATTCAAAAATACCATACTGATATGAAAAAATATCAGTATGATATAAAAGAATACCAATTTGATATGAAAAAATATCATTTTGATATTGAAAAATACCATACTGGTATACAAAACACCATAGTACGGTCACAAATTTGATATGTGCGCATATCAATCTGTTAAGAAAAAGACATTATTGATGTGTTAGAAAATATCAATTTGATATGTTTGAAAATATCAATATGATCTGGGTTGGAGTTTTATGTATGACAAAAAGTGTTATAAATCAAAAGTTAAAAAAAAGTTTAAAAATAAATTTGTTTGAAAATATCAATATGATCTGGGTTGGAGTTTTATGTATGACAAAAAGTGTTTTAAATCAAAAGTTAAAAAAAATTTTAAAAAGAAATCTTTCGAACCAATTAAAAAAAAAAGGCAAAAAGTGGTAGAAACAATTTATTTATAATTTTAAATTTATTGTATTTAGAAAAATTGAACAAATGCAACGTGATTAGTATATTCAAAACCTTTTCACGTGCTATATGTACGTATCTGTAAAATTTGTTGCTTTGAAACTATAAGCCTTTAAAACCTAGATTTTTTGTAATTTGCGCCTATGCAGCTGATTTTTCCACACGTCGTAAAACAAAAGTTTTTTATCTCGAGCTTCCTAATAAACCAATAATGTCCCTGAGACCTTAAAACCAAAACGAGATTCACAATCCCCTAAAATATTATTTGTGAAATAAACTTTGATCGAAGCATCGGATTTTCTTAGTAAGAATAAAGGTGCGCACACAATGTGGAGGCGCGGCGCCGTGCGGCATAAGGATCGCACACTCAAGCAAAATCGTCCTGGCGAATGTACTCGCGTCAAATTAAAAGTTTGATACTAATAAAATAAATTGAAATATTTACTTAAATATGAATATATATTTACTTATATATGAAAATGAAAAATTGTGTTACTAACATTGACTACTTCTTATAACTGCAAGGGTATACAACTTTTATGTAACTTATTTTTGAACTTCTATAAATAGGGGTTTCTTTTATTTGTTTTCACTGCAAGATTTATCAAATCTCACAATAAAAAAGTTATTAGCAAATAAATAGGTGACCCCAGTTCGCGAAATTGGAAAGAGTAGCTTTGGCGCTCATATTTTTAAAGCATGATTGTTGAAACTTGTAAAGTGGATGTGCCTCGTCCACTCCAATCTAACAGAAATCTCTTTTGTCCAAATTTTGCCTAAAGAGATTTTTTGCGACACACGCGATTGGCAATTACACTTCAATTAAAATTAAAATTACAATCTCAAAAGTGTCATTGATTTAACATTCGGACGAGAAAAAGACCGCTATCTGCAGGCATATTTATTTTTAAATTTTGTTAAGAATTACGGGTATGGTTTAGATAGTAGAGTACTAACAAAGGGAGCAAACAAAAAATAGTAAAGCTTTGGTAAATTAGTAAACGTGGTGCTACTAAACTAGTATTTGTAATTATTACTTACATATTTTTCTGTTGCCTTAGCGTCTCGGTTGAATTTAAAGTTTATATGTTTTACGTTATTACTATCGATAATTGAACTATGAATACGATGAAATCCTGATTTTGGAGTAGCCGGGGGAAGTTTAAGTGAATCGATCTCTGGAATCCGCCAAATTTTAAGGTCATCATTCCATGAAGAATTTCGCATTACAATATCCGGGGTCCTGGTTAAAATTATAATTATTAAGTAGCTTTGAAACTGAGAAAAAGAAAAATCGGACAAATAGACGAGCTGAATATTGTCAGATGGACATGAATATAAGAATATAAATGCACAATAGGGCGGTCCCAAAAAAATGAAATCTTATTCTCACATCCTTAAATGGTAGGGTAAAGTGTCCAAAAACTGTATCCAGGACATTTTTTTTTGAGAGTTAGCCCTGACGTTTAGTTAAAATTTGTTAAAATGTATTCATAAAACATACGACCAGTCCTTTAAAAAAATGGATTTCGCCTTCCCAACTTTGTCAACTCTGAAAAATTGTATGTTTTTTTTTTTAACTAAAGTAGTTTGGAAAGGTGACAACCGAATTTAAGACAACAAATTTAAAACAAAAAAATTGAGAACGTATGAGAACGTAATTAAAAAAAAATCAAACTTTCTTAAAGTAAGAAGCATTGGTACATAAATTAAAAATGCAATAAAAAAATTATTTTCAGGGTGGTTAATCTGTTAGAGGCGTCGACACATAAGGTTTTTAAAATGTTCCAAATTGTTCTAAAATTAAAAAAAAAGAAACTCTTAAAATAAGAAGCGTTGGTACTTAAATTAAAAATGCAATAAAAAAAGTATTTTCAGGGTGGTTAAACTGTTAGAGGCGTCGACACATTGACTACTTGTACATAAAGGTCCTGAGCTAATCCTAACAGCTTGCCTAACAGTTTTTGCAACGTTTTTTTTTGTCTAAGACGGAAACAGTTTTCTTTTGTACTTTACGGTTTAAAACCGTAAAAAAATCTCTATCCCTGTGGCCAAGAGTAAATGTACTCGGTTTAGTCAGCGTCCATTAGAACCGTGCGCGGTCGATTCGGTTTGCGAGTCTGTCTACAGTACGAGCTGTAGTAAGTTCAATCTAAGATCGGGGTATGAGTTATTCTATCTATCACTTATATCTTTACCAAAAACTTTTCCGTAAATATAAAATAAGATTAAATAAATTTAATCTAGAAAAAACCCTATAATCAAGTGCTTCGACTATCAGGTACTAAAGTTTCAAATGAAATAAAATTCGAAGGCGTTTTTATTATGGTGTTATTTAAAACTGGAGCGAGCAAGACAGACATATGTCAGCTCTAATAAGGCAAAACCGAAAGGCACTTCTGGTATTACAAAATTTATATAAAGGGTGTTTTTTTAGAGGTATAGAAATTTAAATTTCAACAAAACAACGATGGATTATTCGATTGACATGAATTGTTTTTTATTGGAAAGATAATCTTGTGGCTTACATTTTAAATATGATTTCTGACATATGACCGTGAAATTAGGCGGTCACCAAACGTGTCTTTCAATAAATCGATTGCGGCACGAGCTGTGTGACATATTGTTCGAAGTACAGCTTCCCAATTCAGGATGAAAAAGTTAGTAATCATGGCTCTATATCGATCTCCATTGACTGTAACGTTCTGGCCATCATCGTTTTTGGAGAAGTACGGACCAATGATTCCACCAGCCCATAAAGCGCACCAAACAGTCAGTTTTTCTGGATGTAACGGTGTTTTGACATACACTTGAGGGTTAGCTTCACTCCAAATGCGGCAGTTTTGTTTGTTGACGTAGCCATTCAACCAGAAGTGCGCTTCATCGCTAAAGAAAATTCCATTCGACGAATCTGCGCCTTGATTGATGATCGTTTGGCTTCAATACTTGCACGAGTTGGATTTTGTAAGCATGCAAACCAAGATCCTTCCGCAAAATCTTCCATAAAGTGGATGGACACAGATGTGCTCGTGCTCATGTGCTCGATGGCGGATGGACTCATTCGGGTCTTCCTCAATGCTACGCTCTACAGTAGCAATAGCTACTTCTGTACGCACCGTACGGCGTCTCTGGGGATGCAAGTTATCAATAAGAATAAACGTGGTGCGAAAACGTTTTCTGCTTAATCGAATTAACTGCTCTGATGGACGATTTTGTCGACGATAAAATGGACGTAGTGCGCGTAACGTATACCGCACAGAACCGTTATTTTCGAAATAAAATTGCGTTATGTGCAAGCGTTGTTCAGGCGTAAGTCTATTCATCATGAATTGCCAAACCAAACTGAGAAGAAATCACTTGACAGCTGTTAAATCGGTCGCCATCTTGAAAGGTAATGCCAACATAAAGTTCTATACCTAAAAAAAAAACACCCTTTATAATTTAATACTTGAACCAAAATGTTAATGAGCAAAATTCTATCCAGAAAGTAAAATTTGGCTCATTTAACTAAAATTAACTCATCAAACTAAATCTATGCATTTTGCTTGATTTTTTCAGATCCTTCCTGCTAATTAAGTGCTGTGAACAAATAAAAACAACAAAAGTAATATTTAAGGGTCTTTATGTCCGTTGCGACCAAAAAATAACCATGATACTTTAAACACAAAACTATATGATAGCATTCAGAAATAAAACTCGAGTGCTTTTTGAAGATCAACCAATTTTTAGACCTTAGTTTTTCATGACAAGCTCCTAAATGTTTTCATTTTACTTAAAAAATGTATAATAGGAATTTATTCTCATCGAATTAATGTTGCAAAGTTTTCGGTTACTGAAGAGTGTCCTTAATTATAGAAACATTTTTCCCAGGAATTTGAATAAAATATGTGTAGTTAGACATCGGATATTCAACATACATTTTTAAGCTTTCGGGCTTTTAATATTTAATTTATAAAAACAAATTTTTCTAAACGTTCTCATTTTACTTTAAAAATATATAATAGGACTTTATTCTCATCGAATTTTTGGCATTTAAGTAAGCATGAAATGTTTTTCATACTGAACTGAAAAGTAATATAAAATAAAGGTTGAGGCATCTCAAGGGCTATATAGAAATAGTAGTATATCTATGTCTTTAAATCTATTGTATTTAGACAAGTTAAGCAGCACGTGATTAGCATATCTAATAGCCTTTTCAGTAACATATAGTATGTATCTGCAGCATTAGTTGTTTCGAAACTATAATCTTTTAAAATCTACCTTTTTTGCAGTTCCCGCTAAACTAACGAGGTTTCCCAAAAGTTTTTTATCTCGAGCTTCTGAGTACATTTATAAAGCTCCAAGACCATAAAACTAAAAAGTGATTCATACAAACCAACGAGCAAAGGGAAAAACATTTCCATTTTGGAAGGTCCCTAGAAATCTTGATTTTGGAATAACTATTGAACGGATCGGATCTTAACAAATGAGGTCTCGTTCAATGCGTATTTGCATTAATAATAAATCTGGGCTAATAACCTTGGATATTTATCACCACCAGCTCCAATTTTCTACATTTTCACGTTTACATTCTCACCGGCTCTTTCTCTTAAACCAATTGAAAGTATTAAAGTCTTGGTAAGCAATCATTTTAGTTTTTAAGATACCTTTCAATTGGTATATCACTCGTTATGATCAGAACAATACTGTAGATTTTTAATTCTGCGGATATAAGTAGTAGTCGCCTTCGTACACTCTCCTGGTGTGTTTCGTCACTACGTAGATTGCCGTCTACAGTTACTTATATTCTTGATAAGCCGAATCTAACTAGCCATATCTATTCGCCCGTCTGTCGGAAACTTTAAAAGCTAGAATGTTGGGATTAAGCATGTAGATTCTATAGCAACCTACGCGGCGCATGGTGCCACGCCCAATCTAACACCCACTCTATCGCCCATAACGCAAAAACCCGTCTAGCGCCATTACTTTTGAAGATTTTGTAAAAGTGTAAATCGAAATTAATCAGATTCGAAAAAGTATGTAACACGTAAAAGGAAGCGTCTCCGACCCCATAAAGAATATATTCTTAATCAGTGTGAAGGCTGTGATCTCGGGAATGATCTAGAGGGTTGAGATTCCTACGCAGCGCAAGTTTGTTACGTTAACATGCCACGCCCACTCTTGCGCCCACAAACCGCCCAAAAATGTGGCGCCTAAATTTTTCATGCTAGAAAAAAATGAACTGAAATGAATTCGATACTTACCGTTTATCACTAACATTTTTTTATATTTATACCCGTTACTCGTAGAGTAAAAGGGTATACTAGATTCGTCAAAAAGTAAGTAACAGGCAGAAGGAAGCGTTTCCGACCCCATAAAGTATATACAGCTGTGTTCATTGAAATAGCAGTGCATATGACCTGCACGTATAAAATCGAAAAACACTATTATAAACACATCATTGAAACAAAACTTAAATACAACAGTTTTAATTATTTATTTTTAAATAATTTAGCTGTTTTTTCCTGTTGGGTAATTCAATATTTTAGCAAATATGGATAATAACAAAAAAGAAAGACTGAATTATGGTGTTCATTGAAATAGCAGTCTTAAAAGAAAAATATGATAAAATTCAATATGGCTCATTAATAACTTAATCCTACTAAATATCGATTTGATTACGACCAAATATTTTGTTGTATGGCCTTTATTGGCTATTACAGGCTAACACCTACGTGGCATGGAGTCCACCAAGTCCTTGCAACGTTTGCGGGAACTCTGACCCCGTCCCTCCTGCACAACTTGCCAAAGCTGCGGCTAAGAAGTCGGGGATTTCTTGACAACAAAACGCTTATGTCCCTCGATAAGATTTCAGTCGGATTTAAATCCGTGGACTGTGCTGGACACGGCATTACGTCAATTTGCTTTTGGCTAAATGTTGGTGTGGCCAATTTGTTGGTGTGTTTAGGATCATTGTCCTGCTGAAATGTCCATATTAAGGACATTTGATCATCAGTATACGACAGAATGACGTTTCTCAGTATATTTACGTAAACATGTTGGTCCATGATCTCATCGATCAAACGTAAGGGGCCCACACCGCTATATGAGAAATTTGCCCATACCATGATTTTAAGGCCATCTGCTTAACGGTCTTGAGATTTTGTTTTGGGTGGTACCCGGTGTTTGATGGTCGACGGACATACTATTTTGAACCTGTTCCACCAAAAAACACCAGCTAAGACTCATCTGTCCAAAGGATATATCGACCTTTTGAAAGTGGCTAGTTCAAGTGGCTTTTGGCAAACTTCAACTTGTCTTTGAGGTGTCTTTTACCAAGTAATTGCTCCTTTGGTGGACTTCTAGCATTCAAATTTTCATCGAACAGACTTCGGAGAATAGTGCCATCCCTGATTCCCAAGCTCACATCCGCTTTTATAGTCCTACAGGATGCAAAAGGATAAGTTTTGCTAAAGCGCACTTTGCGAAAGTCCTCTATAATTGTGGTTTTCCGTATCGCATAACGTTTTTCGGGCTTCGGTTCATAGTTTATGGCATTGTAACTCATATTGGCTGCACATTTTAAGGGACTTTGAATATATTGATACGTTTTGCCCTCCTTTCTAAGCTCAATGAATTTTTCCTTTCTCCCTTGAAGCAATGATGTCTTCTACCCACTAAAGTTAATTTTTTTCTATAGTTATAGTGTATTATGGTTCAATTTATAATAGTGGTCTTCATTAAAAACCAATTTTTACCAAATTACAAACATTTTCGGGACTTTTCCTGAAAGAAAATCAAAAACTGCTATTTTAGTGAACAGCCGAAATGTTGTGTCCGTGTGCAAAAATATGAAAGATACCCAAAAACAGACCAAATCTAATGGGGTTTTTGCTTGTTTTGTATCTCTATGATCCATTCTACAAAAGAGATGTACTAGCGATTAACTAATGAAAAGGACTAAGCTAATAAACCGTTATATAGTTTCGCTTCTGTCGCATTGCTATTTTAATGAACACAGCTGTATATTCTTGATCAGGTTCACTAGCCGAGTCGATCTAGCCATGTCCGTCTGTCTGTCCGTCTGACTGTCCGTCCGGATGAACGCTGAGATCTCGGAAACTATAAGAGCTAGGCTATTGAGATTTGGCATGCAGATTCCTGAGCTTCTTACGCAGCGCAAGTTTCAGCAGAGTGCCACGCCCACTCTAACGCCCACAAACCGCCCAAAACTGTGGCTCCTACAGTTTTGATGCTAGAATAAAAATGTTAACTGAAATGTATTGTCCTCATCAGTACCTATTGATTAACTCAAAAAAAAAGATTTGTCACGCCCAGTTTAACGCCCACAAACCGCTTACAAACTTCAAAAAATCGTAAATATGAACGTCGAAATCTCGGAAACTATCAAAGATAAAGAATGGGGATCTCAAATTTAGATTCCGTAGCCTTGAAAGCAGCGCAAGTTTGTTACGCGAATATGCCACGCCCACTCTAACGCCCACAAACAAGTGTCTGATAGTCGAAGTACTCGACTATAGCGTTCTTCCTTGTTTTATTTACATGAGACTGCTTTGATTATTAATGTCCAACTACATGCCAAAAATTGTTCAATTCGGGCCATTTATTAAAAGAATATAAGCAGGCGCTTTTCGACTTGTATATCTCTATCTCCCTCGCACTCCCTGAGTGCGGATCACGAACTTTCGCTTTCAAATCCATAACTTTGTTTTTAAATTATTCGTACTTCATTTCTAGTGTTCGTTCTTGAATCGGGAAAGTTAATTGAGTTTCACGTAACACTCTCCAATAAACTTAGTGTTTTGCTTATCAAAAATGAATCAAGAAATTTTAAGCTTACCGAACTTTCGGTATCATTCGAGAATAGCATCACTGTGGACGGCCATTCACGTAGTGACGAAGGGCACCAGGAGAGTGTAGGAAGGCGACTACTATATAAAGCCGCACATTAAAAATCCGCGGTGATTGCCCGACCATAATATTTGATCAAGGGCAACAATAATAATATAATCTTTGAAACAATTTCGCCGAACCTATAACTCCTTTTTGAATGTATTTTTATGTACAACAGAATAAAATAACTATGGTACATTGATTACACACTATTGAGTATCGATTTGGCATCGATAAGATGAGTATTAAATATATACTTTTGAAAGTATAATATTTAAATTATTTGCTTTAAAAATATTACCACAAATACAACTCATATACTTTTTAACTGAGTCGCAAACTTTTATATAATACATCCCCCCGCGGGAAATGTTAAAAGTATTATTGACCAATGGTGATGTAATATACAGGATAAGCTCTTACCAGTTTTTGCCATTTTTTTGAAAACTCGGATTCAATTTATAAACCAATTGTTGATAAAACTTTATATGACGGCCGAGATTTCGAATTTCGTCTAAATAATCCTCTCTATCCAGCTGAAACTCTGAACTTAAATCGGAAACTTCCATTTCAAGCATTTTTATTTTCTCTTCACAGTTTTTAATGTGATTATTTTTTATATTTATTTCTTGGGTAATAGTAGCATAATGTCCCTGCAAGAGGTCACGGTCCTCACATTTAACTCTGCTTAATGCATAGGCGATAGCACTTAAGTGACGTTGTGCTGCAAATTTTCTAGCTTTGTGCTGTTCTTTTAGTTTGAAGTCATCAACACGTTCACCTCCAACTAAAGTGCGTTTAATGAAGTCGATGCGACTTCGGGCTTGCAATTGCATTTCTTCTTTTGATTGAAAAGAAGAGTGACTTGGCTTTATTGATATTGAGTTTATGGTTTTTAGCGGTACATCGGGATCTTCACCTGATTCAGTTATTTGATCCTCTTTCCTTGAATTAAGATTTGTAACATTTAAAATTGCCATAGGTAACTCAATTGATTTAATTTTTTCATCATTTCTGTAAAGCATTTTTTGTTGAGTCTCTTCAAGCATTCTTTTCAAATGTAATATTTCATTTTGGTACTGACGAAGCTTTGCATCTTTAGGATCTTCATTGATTATGGGTCTGTTTGAAATATTCTTCGCTCTACTTGCATACCTGAGTGTGGATATAGTTTCGTCATAACTTATGTCTGATGGTGAGATACAGGATATCATTAAAGTTTTTGTATTGCCTCCTAAGGAATCCTGGATTACAAAATATTAAGGTATATACATCGAAATATATTTGTACATTATTCATATACAGTTACCTGGAGCAGACGTGTAAGTTTTGAGTCCCTAAACGGTACATGCTTTGCTTTACCATCAACCAAAGATGAAATTACGTTTCCCAAGGCAGAAAGTGATAAATTAATTTTAGACGCTTCCTTAAGTCGATCTCCTTGAGCTCCAGTTTTACGCTGTCTCTCTGAACCTGCTAGGTCAACTAAGCTTAATTTTCCTCGGCGTATTCCTCTTAAGTCATTCTCTGTCGCAATACTATTAAAAAATGGAGATTGTTCCAAAGTAATAGTAAATATAGTGTGCGAACGGGAGCTTTTTTCGTTCATTAACGTCGCTGCAGTAACACGGTTTTTATTTCCCAAGTTTAACCAATCGTAACACTGGTTTGCATTAATAACGGGATGCGTGGTCAGCGTGGGAACTGAAACACCAATACCTGGAATTTCTTTAAGAGAATGATTTATCATGCTCGTACTTTCATTTGTATTGAGCAAGTCTCGAATATTTTCATTGTAAATTTCCAAATAGCTTACGAGGGCCAAATATCTGACATTATTTGCCATTGATATTGTCTCGAATATGTGATCAAAACACTTAGGAATTATTCCACTGCCGCTTCTTAAATTTTCGTTGCCCTTATGTTAGAAGAAAAAAGGTAAATAAAATAATTTAATTGCCGTTAAAGGTAATGACAACCTTTCAATGTAAGAAATACCAATAACTATTTGTTATGCCATTGAGAAAACAATAAATTAATTTACAAAGTCCATACTTTTCAAATACCGTAAGGCGCACAAAAAACACTTTTTGTAGCATTTGCATAAATTTTACTTTTTTGTAATAATTGTCATAATTTTCGGAAAGTTTCTTATTTCGGCGCCCCTACCTATTTGATAAGATCCGTATTAGTAATGACAGCATGTAATGAACGTTTACTCTAGCTTACTGCAAAAATACGCCAAAAATGATGATGGTAGTTCCTGGTAAATTTAGACCCTTTATCAAAAAAATAATTAACAATGGTATAAAAATAATGATTATGGGTACGTTTTTTAAAGATAATTTTTTGAAAATTTTGTTGGTATTCCCGTGCTTTTACTTACATATCAAGTTACGTCCTACAAATTTAGGTTTGTTTATATGTTTTAATCTTAATAGATCTAGCCATGCCCGTCTGTCTGTACGTTTCTACGCAAACTAGTCTCTCAGTTATAGTCTAGGAATAACCATAATATACCAAACACAGCATTACGACATTATCGATCTATGGTAACACTAAAATGTGAACCACGTGGTTAAATCTTCTCTCGTAATTCTAAGCTCGTAAGCTGTGGTTTATTGTAATGTGCTAAATAAACGAAACTATAATTGAATACTAAATACGGTGATTTGTTTATCTAAACTGGGAGTCCCGACAGGTTGTGGGCCCAGGCTACGCCTAATATATTTAGATCAGTAAAATTCTAATAAGTTTGTGAAATAGCTTTGTTTTACGTTACGTTGTGAAATACTGTTTCCCATCCATACATATAGCCATGTGTGCGTGTGTGTGAATTACCATGGAAAAGACAAGACGCAACCTTAATGCTTTTTACGGGGAAACGTATTCGGTGTGGAAATTCAGAATCAGAGCTCTGTTCGCCAAATTGGGTGTTTTAAAAGTAGTTGACCAGAATATTTCTGATGAGGTTGACGATTCCTGGAAAAAGGCAGAGCGTTGTGCAAAGAGCACTTTGATAGAATGCCTTAGTGAAAATTTTGCGACAAGTGACAAGGCGCGACAAATTTTTAGAAATTTTGACGCCATACATATATGAACGCTAGAGTCTCGCGTCTCAGTTAAGCCTAGTACTCACATCGACGAAAACCGCGAGCTAACCATGGGAGTGAGCGAGAGGCAAATACGCGGCTAACTCTTTTCGTCGGGTCTGTTTTTCAGCGCGCTACTCAGATGAGCTAAGGAAATACCAGATTTAACGAGTGAATTTCGATGAACGCCGCGGCCCAAAGAATAAGAAATTTAATCTTTGGCGGTGTTCGTGCAAACGCGTTATACAAAACAAAAAAGGTAGGAAAACCCACCAACGCCTGCAGGCACTGACATCAGTGCAGATGAAATAGGAAGCCTAATCCAAGCTGTTGCCCTTTATTGTGGGATTTCACCTAAAGGAAGCCATACCACAACAGAGGCAAATCCGCAGAATAGTTGAAGTGCTGGAGGAGATCCACTAGAGAATCCCAGTGGGAAGGAACATGCCGGGACTTCGCTCTCTACATCGACATCCTACCGGGCGTGTCTTCGCAAAGAAAGTAAGATCTGGTCAAAAGAATTTGGTTGCGTTTTACTAATATAAGTATCTTTTTAGCAGAACCACCAGTAATACGATCTCCGACGACCTCTCCATTAGGACTCCGGACACCACCACCACCAGTTACTTGTCAGCTTAAGCGGAGCTGGAGGACCCGCTGGCTTCTATAGGGAGGAGGAAAATAGGGCGACCGCTAAGGAACAGTTGGAGAAGCCATAGCCAGCCATTGCCAGGATGCTAGGCGACTTCCTGCAGCATCAGTGGATCAACCCGATTTCATTCCGGCTCCCACTTCCTATAGGTCCAATATGCCTATTGGGACTCGGAGCTGGACTGCTGTGGAGGGGAAAAGATGGCGAAGCATCAGTGACAAAAGAAGGAAGCCTTAAAATACTTAATAACATTAATAAAAACATCCTTCGAACATGCCATTTGTTGGTATTTCTTGGTGCACCATCAGACTCGGAAAATCTTACTGCAGCTTTTGTAAAGAACAGATTGCTTGATCACGAGATACAAATTAAAAACATTAGCAGCGATACAAGTAGAAAAGTTATGAGAGCAACGGTATTCAATAACAACAGTTATAAAAATAAATCATTTAAAAATAATAACAGTGTAATTCGCAAGCTATTTAAGGGAAAGGGAAAATTGAATATCAAGTGTCATTACTGTGGCAAAGATATTAAAAAAGATTGTTATGCGTATTAAAGAATAATAAATGATAAAAATAAGGAAAATAACAAACAGGAAAAAATAGTAACAAGTAGTAAATCGATTTTATAAAACTGGCGAAAAGGTGAAATTTATCTTGGATTCTGGTGCTACAGATCATCCCGTAAATGACGAGAAACTCTTCATGGACTACATCGACCAGGAGTCGCCTAAAAAATGCTGTCGCCAAGCATGGCGAATTCATTTTTGCAACGAAGTTTGAGATTGTGCTCTAGTGCCAGGATGTTGCAGAGAACTTAATTTCTGTCAAGCGACTCCAGGAGGCTGGTATGACTGTTATGTTTGGCAGTAACGGTGTAGAGATATTCAAGAATGGATCTGTTGTGGCTGAGGATCCAGGTATGTGTAATACACCAATTCTTGAATTTAAAGCCTTTACATTATATGTGGGAAAGAAAAATAATGAATATCGAGAGATTAGGTCACATTAGTCACATTAGGTCACAATTGCCAGAAATTAAGGAAAAATTTATTTCGTGACAATAATCTCCTTAATAACGATAGTCTAGTTGATCGATATGTGAAGCATGTTTAAATGACAAGCAAGCCAGATTGCGTTTTGAAAAACAAAAATAAAGAATACATAAGTAGACCCCTATTTGTAATCTCTTCTGATGTATGCGGGCCAATAACTCCTGTTTCAATTGCCGTCAAAAATTACTATGTTATTTTGGTGGATCAATATACACATTATTTTGTAACGTATTTAATAAAACATAAATTAGATGTTTTTGCAATGTTTAAAGATTTTGTAGCGAAAGGTGAGCCGTATTTAAACCTTAATGTTGTAAATATTTATATAGACAATGGTAGGGAATATCTATCTAGTGACATGCGTGAATATTGCGTACAGAAAGGGATAAGTTACCATCTGATTGTCCATATAAGGCGCAATTAAACGGCGTATCAGAAACAATGATCACAACGATTACTGAAAAAGACCGTAGTGTAGTAAATTGTGCTAAATTAGATAGAAGCTACTGGGGTGAAGATGTTCTGACAGCAACTTATTTAATTAACATGATTCCGATAAGGGCACTTGGTGATAGTTCAAAAACTCTTTATGAGGCATGGCACAGTAGAAAGCCTAATTTTAAATATTTGGTTCAACAGTGTATGCCTATTAGGGGGTATCCTTAATGCATAACAGAAAGAAAAAGTTTAAAAAAAATTAGCTCTAGACGGTGCGCAATGACTTTTAAGGTTTTTAGATTTATTTTATATTCGTCTAGGTGCCGTAGACTTGATTTTAAACTTTGACAATTTGCTTGTAACAACCTAAACCATTATTTAATAAACTAACTAAATGCCAGTGATTTATGCTAACATAACCCTTGATCTTCACAATTCTAAAATACAATCGCCATTTCAATGTGAATATACCTGAAATTTATTATATTTTATAATAAAATAGTAAAGAAAAAAAAGATTGTTCGGGGACCGAACACGGTCATTTTCGGTTCAAAAAGAGAAGCTCTGCGCTCTAGGCTCTAGGCTACTTTGAACTGATTTGAAAAATTACAATTCTCCAGATCAACAAGAACGAAGAATATTATTTGCATTCGACACAGGTTTCTGTTTTCAAATAGACAATTTTTTATAAAAGCGATTAGAATGTGGAATGAGCACCTACATAAAAGACACTAGGAGCGCAACACTATTTAAGACAAAACTTCTCTCACACCTAAAAAAATAGCAGTTCTAGTCTGCTATAAGATATATTATCCTATATTAACATTGCGACTTATCCCCAATAACCTTTTCCTTAGTTTTTTTTTTTAATTTCGATTCAATTTTATTTGTCATTCTGAATTTTCAATAATTACTGTAACCAATATATGTCATTAGATTTATGAACCAATTTTGTCAAAATTTAAATATGTTAATCAGTTGTGACTAGAGCAGTAATTTATAAGTCTTAGAACTTGTAGCGTTAGGAAGCCTAAAACAATAAATAATAATATTAATAATAATAATATAAATCATGAAATAATCTACTATTTATTTCCATTATTCGATCAGAACAAAAAAGTTGACAAATAAAGGAAAGGAAGAAACATTTGTTGTGTTGTGCAAGTCATTTTTATAGAACATTACCATTTCAGATACTGTGCTCATATGACCTTAGAAAATTTACCATAATATTCATACTAAATACAGTAAAAGAATACTCGTTGAAAAATCATGCAAAACTATTTTAGCTGGCTATGAACAAAATGGTTTAAAACTAAAGGACGTTAATAATAAAAAAACAAACGTTAATAATCAAAATTCAGAACTAATTAAGAAATGTTATTTCCAAGCGTAGGAGGTTATTTGTTAAAAACACCAAAGATGTAATTAAAAAAAATTTTTTTTTTTGACTATTCCTATGGAAGCTATAAGATATAGTCTTCCGATCCGGCTGGTTCCGACCAAATGAAATTAGACTTTTGGAAAAGTTTCAGCCCGGTCGCTTTAAAACTGAGAGACTTATTTGCGTAGAAACAGACGGACAGACGGACATGGCTAGATCGACTCGTCTAGTGATGCTGATCAAGAGTATATATACTTTATACTATTAGTTTTGATAGTTAAAACAGAAGACAATTTCTGTAAAACTTAGCAAAAATAAAATTAATTACAAGTAATATAAAAATAAATGCAAGGCTATAATAATTGTTTCATTATTTCTCTGACCGGTTATTTGACAGTTAGAGTCGTCTAATTTTTACTAAATTTAATTCGAAAGTCTTAAAAATACAAAAAATGATATTCCCAATAGTATAAGATAAAAAAAAAAAAAAATTTGTTTCATATTATTTTCCCACCAATTCTCCGATCGTTCCTATGGCAGCTATATGATATAGTCGTCCGATTTTGATAAAATTTAATTCGAAATTCAAAACTCGTCTAATGATGCTGATCAAGAATATATAACGTCTCCTTCACTGCGTTGCAAACTTCTGACTGAAATCATAATACTCTCTGCAAGCGTATAAATATATATGTAGGGTACGCAGACTCTGACTGGGGAGGAGATGAAATTGATAGAAAGAGTACAACTGGGTTTCTATTCAAAATGTTGAATCAAAATTTTATATGCTGGAATACAAAAAAGCTAAATTCAGTAGCTGCTTCATCGGCTGCGGCAGAATACATGGCCTTGTTCGAAGCTGTAAGACAAGCCTTGTGGTTGAAATCCCTATTAGAAAGTGTTCATATCCAATTTGGGAGACCTATAAAAATATATGAAGCTAATCAGGGATGTATTAGTATAGCTAGTAATCCCTCATGACATAAAAGATATAAACATATTCATATAAAATATCATATTACAAGAGAGTAAGTACAAAATAACGTAATTTGTATCGAGTATAAAGTCGTTACCTGCTCCACGCTTTATGGACTTACGAAGAAAAATGGGACTGGATAGAGCAAACAAAGAAAGGTAATGAATAATATCTTGAATAATATTCTGGATCACTGAATTTTAAGATCCAAAAGAAAAGAAAAGAAAGAAAACAAGCGAGCACAAGCAACATAGATTAAGTTGAAACATGTAACATTAATTTAAATTTTTAATTTTATTTCTAATGCTATTTTTGAGGGGCGGTGTTGAATACGTCTATGAATAACCCCATTATAATTTATAATATACTAAGAACCGCATTACAATGTTATCGGTCTGTGGTGACACTAAAGCGTAAACCATGCAGTTAATTCTTTCTCTCTTTCCTCTATTACTATATTACTATTATTTTTGTTTGAAGAAACTTTTTGCATCAAAAAATTTAAGTTTTTAAGTTGAGGAAAAAAGTTCAAAAAGGACATTTTCACACAAATTCGTCCTTTTCAATAAGTACTGAATGTGTTAAGAAATGTATTGTATCATTCAAACGGCATTTAAATTACCTTTCCATTGATGCCAAAGTTAACAAGATGTAAGTTCAAATTATGAATATATTTAACTTTTTTTTTGTGAAAATACTTTTGACCACCCTTGTAAGTCGGAACGTTCCGGATTGGACATTAAATTCTATTCTGAGGAATATATATTTTTTAAATTTCCGAATTTGAAATTAAATTTAAAAAAATGGGACTTCTATATAATATAGCTGTACTTGCTATTTTTGATCAATCTCTCTCCAACTTTTCCGGTATGTAGCTTTCTTTATTATTTTTTTTTTTTATTATTCCAGAACTACGTATTTAATAAAATAAAAATCGGATCGCAAAAATCAAGTCAAGTCAAATGGTTCCATTTTTCGTTTTCGGCAAAACATGTACGCTAGTAAATTAAAACGTATCATTATCTTAATATTTCTGTTAATATTCTGTTAGGTTCTTAAAATATATATATATTTATTTTATTATTTTTTTATTGTTGTTTCTAATGAAAAATCTTGGTATCACCATGTCAAACGATAAAATTCCGTTTTTAAGTTATACATATATAATTTTGTGTTAAAGCTCTTTACTATAAACTTACATGGCTAGATGCATGCATAGATACCTAAGTCGCAAATGGTACTGATGTGGTAATGGTAATTCACATGTGTTTGTCTGCTTCCACCACTCATATACAATGCTCGGTCTGCCGAAGCTGACATTGGTCCAGTGCGTAAACTATTCACTCCTCGCGCGAGCGACCCGGGTTCGACCCCGCAGTTGTCATTTATAACGACAGTTACTTACTTGTGTAACCACACATATTCAACTAACACTTAAACACTAAAATCATGACATACACACAAGACTAAGATATAAGGTACTAAGGCATACATATGTACAAGTCTTGTATCATTCAATCGGAATTTAAATGACCTTTCCATTATTGCCGAATTGTACATGAAGTAAGTTCAAATTCTGAGTATATTTAACTTTTGCTTTGTCGGAAACTCTTAATATACTCTTCAAATAACGGGTATTAACATATATATATATATAAATATATTTATATATATATTTTTATTTATATATATATTTTTATTTATATATATATATACATATACATATATATATACATAAATAAATAAAAATTATGTATATATATTTATATATATGTTTGTATATATTTAGATAATTGTGGTTATATTATATTTTTATTGCTATCTTATATTCTTTTATATTCTTACTGCAAGTATAAACTTGTTGTTAATGCACTGGTCACAATTTAGATATTTTAATGTAAAAATCACTTGCCAACCTTGATACGAAGCATAGCTGTATAATATAACACTAGTACCTGCATTGTGTGTGTTTTTCCACAACCTGTCTGGCCGTAAGCAAAAATGGTTCCATTATATCCCTCGATAGTGCTCTCTACTAATGAATAGCACATTTCGTTATAAATCACTTCAGTTTTCGTAATCATATCATAAGCACTATCAAAAATGAACATTTTTTTTGGAGCGAGGCGAGCCGAAGGATTTGTCACGGAAACTGCATACTCATTTATTTCAACAATGTTCTGAAGTTAAATAAAATATTTTATAAATTATTATAGTTATATTACACATTATTTTACAAAAATTTAATTTATACAATTTGGGTCTATTTGGCACTTCCGAGCCGATACAGCCATGCCCGTCTGTCCGAATGTCTGTGTGTTTGTCCGTCCGTATGAATACTGAGATCTCGGTAACCATAAAAGCTAGAATGCTGGGATTTGGCATGCAGATTCTTGAGATTCTGAGAAAGCGCATCAGCGTGCCACGCCCACTCTAACGCCCACAACCACCTATACACCCACGCTAAAATCTGTCTGCCGCACACACTTTTTCAAAGATTTTGTAAAAGTGTAGTTGGGATATAGTTTTGACTATCAATATCTATCTGCATGCCAAAAATTATCCAAATCGGAGCATCCACTAAAAATTTATAAGAAAATAAAGGAATCTACGCTAAGTGGCGATGTTGCGGGTTGTTCAATATTGTGAACAGTCGCTTTGCATATCTCCATCTTCCTCGCACCCCCCTTAGCTAAGTAACGGGTATCTGATAGTCATGGGAATATAAACTTCGGTATTTAAAAAAGCTGATGGAGACATTTCTTCGATCTGAGTAGAAGGATTTCATCTATAAGCTGCATGCTATTTTTTGAACAATTATCTATAAAAATCGATAGCTAAGAATATGTACGCTCAAATATGGTTATATTTAAAATCCAAGCAACTACATAATTATTGTAACTATAGGTATTGCTCTTACTTCACACTTGTTTTCATTTTCACTTCGGTGCATAGGGCGACAGCGAACTACAACTTTAATATTTTCACTCATTTTTCTACGTAGTTCAAAACATTTCTAATTGTGTGTACAAATTAATGGGAACTTAACATTTGTGAAAGCTACGGAAAGCTTCTTAAACCTTTGTAAACCAATGGTAAAGCTTTGAATTTCATAAATTATTTATAGATTGTGCTTTCACGCAACCAAAAAGTAATAGTTTTAATTACATTTAAGACAGGCTTATGAGGCTAGCTTTCATGGCCAAAATTGATTAAGAAACTGAGAATTTGTCACATTTTTACCCCTATAGGACATGTAGGATATAGATATAGAATCGGTCGTGTTTTCAAACATGATCTGCGTACACATATTTTTTCCACGACTGGGAAAATTTTAATCTGATCTATTAATGTCTTTTAAAATGTTTTTATTCTGCCCGATTCCGCCAAAGAATTAAGCTTTGAAACATACAACGGCGTGTGTTCTATTGCAGCGTACTGAATAAGAACATTTTAGAAAGTTTATTTATTTATTCGAATTTACAATCATTTTTCGTCACTAAATTGATATCAGAACTTTTGTAAGTTGGAGGTGCGATCGTCAATACCGCTTACCTCGTTAAGAGGTGTTTTTATTTAATATCAGAAGTTTTTGTTTTAAAATGCAATTATAAAATAGAAATTAAGTTCACTTTTGCTGTAATACTCATATATGAGCTATTGTAATAGCATTAAAATTAATATATATATTTCCGTTGGCAAGGCCACTTTCACCTCGTTACTGTATCCCGTACTTAATTATAGAAATATTCTTTCTAGATATTTTAAAAAAGTATGTGTATTTAGACGTCGGAAATTCAACCTACAACATTTTTCGGGCTTAAATTTATTTATTTGTTACAACAAATTTCTTTAAAAATATCTTATAAGAGTATTGTGTCATTAAATTAATAATAAATAGTTTTGGGCATTCAAGGTTAGCATGAAATGTTTTTCATACTGAACCGAATCGGGTTGCACTGTTTATCGCTCAATAACTTCCTTACGCTAATTTGCATGACAAAAAGTGTTATATATCAAAAGTTGAACAATCTCAAGGGCTTTATTGTTTAAAGTTTAAAAAGGAAACCATTTTTGAGAAAATATACAAAAGGTGGTAATCTTTGTTTTTGTTTCACTTTTGACTAAGGATTGTATGACGCGTATTCTCAGTAAGAATAAGACTTGGCTTAGTCTTTGCAATACTGTATGATCAAACCATCATTACATATTTTCAATTCTGCGGCTATTTAGTCGCCTTCGCACAGCCGCCAGGTGCGTGCTCGCCATAACGTGGACTACCGTCCACAGTGATATTAAATTAAATTCTTATTAAAAACAAGAAAGGAAGTTAACTTCGGCAAGCCGAAGCTTGTATACCCTTGCAGTTATAATTATTAAATTTAAAAATACAAAAAATTATATTCCCAATAGTATAAGATAATATGTCAGAAAACAACAAAGCTATAAATTGTTTCATATTAGGTTAGGTTAGGTTAGGGCGGTTTTTAAACTATAGTCCGGCACACTTAGACCTCTATGGGTCCATTGTGATACCGCACGATCTCGTTTTTCCTTCTCTAGGGTCCCGTTTCTAGTAGTTTCAACCTGTGGTAAGCTGATCAGCATGTCTTCCACCGGGAAGATTTAAAAAAGGCACTTATGTTTTTGAGATTAATCTCCGATATTTCGGTAAGATCGTCGATGAAGGGACTTCTTAAGTGCTTCAGTCTGAGTCTGCATAGGGCTGGGCAGAAGCAGAGAAGGTGTTCTACCGTTTCCACTTCTTCCTCATCCCTGCAGCTTCTGCAGAAATCATTTTGCGGGGCTTTTAGCCTGCCGGCATGTGCGCCAACAAGCCAGTGGCCTGTAAGAGCTCGAATCAACAAGCCACTCTCTGTGTGAGTAACTCCGAGGTTTTTTGCCTGGCTAATTCGTCCGCTATGCAGTTGCCTACGATGTCCCGGTGACCCGGAACCCATATAAGGCTGATAGTTGCCGATTTGGCTCTTTCCATGCCTGCTAAGTCCTGGCTAGGGAGGTTCAAGATCGCATTCAGCGCTTCATTCGGGATGGTTCGAAGGGCTCCACTAATACACAAAGCCGCCATTCGCTGTACATTGTTTAGAGGAGTCAGTATGCATTGTTTGTGCAGGGCGGTCCACCACAGAGCCACTCCGTACAGTAGGATTGGCTTGACTACCGCTGTGTATATCCAGTTCACTATTCTAGGGGACTTGCCCCATCTTAGCCCAATTGTTTTTTTGCAGGAGTAAAGTGCAATGGTCGCTTTCTTGGTTCTCTCTTGGTTGTTTAAGCCCCATTCGAGGCGCTTATCTAGTACTAACCCCAAGTACCTGGCGTGATCGCTAAAAGAGAGTTATCAATTGTTTAGAATGGGTGGGTTAAGTTGTGGAATTTTGTATCTATTTGTAAATAGAACAAGTTCCGTTTTCGAGGGACTTACCCCGAGTCCGCTCGCTATCGTCCATTCCGATAGTATTTTAAGTTTAGCGGTCATAAGATCGCAAAGTGTTTGTGGATATTTTCCATTAAAGATGATGGCGACGTCGTCTGCGTATGCCACAACCTTACAACCTCCTCCTTCCAGAATCCGCAGTAGTCAATTTACTGCGATATTCCACAAGAGGGGTGATAGTACACCTCCTTTCGGGGTGCCTCTGTTCACTAGTCTAGTCTGGGTTGAGGTCCCTAGTGCGGCTGTATCCATTCTGCTTATCAGCAATTTATGGATTAGCCTCACCATTGGCGGCTCAACCCCTAGTTCTGTAAGAGATTCTGTTATAGCAGTGGGGAGCATGTTATTGAAGGCTCCCTCTATATCCAGGATGGCGATCAGTGTGTATTCCTTGTTTATGGCTATTTGTCCTGCTTGTTGGATGTGAGCCGGTGTTATCCCGTCCGGTCCCGGCGATTTGTATGGCTTGAAACTATGAATGGACCATTTCATGTTGCGGTCTGATAGGAGTGGATCTAATTCGATTCCCTCTCCTGCTCCTCTCTCAGGAGGATGACCTGCTTGTTGGCTCCCCGGGAAGTGAGCGTCTAGGAGCAGGTCCAAGGACTCTTTACTGGAGTCTGACCATGATCCATTTGCTTTTTGAAGATAGCCCAAAGGCCCAGCTGTCTTAGAGAGTATTTTCCTGAGCCTTGCGGTATCATATTATTATTTTTATATCCGTTACTCGTAGAGTAAAAGGGTATACTAGATTCGTCGGAAAGTATGTAACAGGCAGAAGGAAGCGTTTCCGACCCCATAAAGTATATATATTCTTGATCAGGATCACTAGCCGAGTCGATCTAGCTAGGTCCGTCTGTCCGTCTGTCTGTCCGGATGAACGCTGAGATCTCGGAAACTATGGGAGCTAGGCTATTGAGATTTGGCGTGCAGATTCCTGAGCTTCTTACGCAGCGCAAGTTTGTCAGCAATGTGCCACGCCCACTCTTACGCCCACAAACCGCCCAAAACTGTGGCTCCTACAGTTTTGATGCTATAATAAAAATTTTAACATAAGTGTATTCTTCTCATCAATACCTATCGAGTGACCCGAAAAAAAAATTGCCACGCCCCCTCTAACGCCCACAAACCGCCCAAACCTGTGACGGCCACAGTTTTCATGCTAGATAAAAAATTTTAACTGAAATGTATTGGTCTCGTCAATACCTATCGATTGATCCAAAAAAAATTTTGCCACGCCCACTCTAACGCCCATAACGCTTAAATCTGTCTACCGCCGGTAGGTGGCGTATTTAAATCTCGATTTGCTGCTTGCATATCTCCATTTCCCTTTGGTCCCTTTAGCTGAGTAACGGGTATCTGATAGTCGAGGTACTCGACTATAGCGTTCTTCCTTGTTCATATTATTTTCACACCAATTTTTTATAATCGTTCCTATGGCAGCTATGTGATATAGTCGCCCGATTTTGATAAAATTAAATTCGAAATTCAGAACTAATTAAAAAATGTTATTTTCATTAATTATAGCTTCGGTTTCCCACCAATTTTGCGATCGTTCCTATTGCAGCTAGATGATATAGTCGTACGGTTTGGTAAAATTTTGTTTCAGTCCAATGGTAACATTCTATAAAGCTCACAAAACCTTTCTAAAAGTTTTCAAATGGCTGTTGTGATCAATTTTGAGCTTTCGAAGTAATCATATGTTTTTTCGCGTACGTATGCAAATTTTTGAGGGTAATTTGAGTCGTGTCTAATATTTTGAACAATACACAAATTGACTTTTTTGATTGATTTAATTTTTTATTGAAGTAACCATTGTTTTCGTTAAACTAAGGTATGTACTAGATGTAAATAATGTGTTCGTGATTCGTCTATGTATGTGTAGCCTAAAAATATATTGTTATTAATATGCTTCTGAAGAAATGGTTTTTAAACGCTTTACTGTCTTCGTTGGACTGTAACTAATGTGATTTAATCGTATTCATGCTAATGTTAGTATTTGTCATAAGTGTAAGTCCCTGTGGTGTCAAAATGTCCAAAATGAGAGCCAACTACGGCCAATTCTTAAGTCTATTACACTTTGTAGGTGGAATGTCAGTCTCTAGGAGACGTCTTTTTGCCTTGTGGCTCAGCGAAAGTGTAGCTTAGCGAATATGTGTTGGGGCAAATTTAAAAAAGCAGCTGATTATCTGAAGCTGAAGAATAAGAAATTAAAAAGAAATTATCAAATTTTGTTAGCCGGCTTACAACAAAATGGAAAACTTGCCATTACAACAAATCATTTTTTGAGACTATCGGATACCCGTTACTCAGCTAAAGGGACGAAAGGGAAATGGAGATATGCAAGCAGCAAAGCGAGATTGAAATGCGCCACCTACCGGCGGTAGACAGATTTTGGATCAATCGGTAGGCATTGACGAGACCAATACATTTCAGTTAACATTTTTTATCTAGCATGAAAATTGTGGGCGCCACAGGCTTGGGCGGTTTGTGGGCGTTGCTATATGGAGCCTGTCAATTTAAACTAGTCTAACCTCAAAAATATTGGCGTCACAGAACTGCGATTTATGGTACTGTACATTTTTTTATGT